CCAGCAAAAACCCTTGTTCCTTCCTATTATGGCTTATACTCTCTCTACAACAAAATTAGAAATAAGGGCAAAATAATTTCTGCTGGGTATTGAGGGGGTAGTGGGGAGAGGAAGGGGGCAGAGTGGGTTGTAAGGGAGGGGGTGGGGACAGGGGGGAGAAATGACCCAAGCCTTGTATGCACATATGAATAATTAAAAAAAATATACAGCTATTCATATTAATGGAAACAGATGGTTGTGACTCTCTTCAAATAAAAACACCACTTTTTCCCCCCAAATACAAATAACTCTCCCAAAATTCTGCAGCTGCCAAATAAAGGGTCCCCAAAGGATCATCGATATATTAGTGGCTGAAGGTAATTTTATATCGCTCATATTCTTAAAACAATGTTGGTGGGTTAACCAGTCACATAAACTAGAAACAAAACAAGAAATGTTTCCTTAAGTAGAAATGAAATTAGCAATCATAGATATGGTAATAAATAAATAAATAAATAAATAAATAAATAATACTTCTAGCCAGAAAGTAAAATTAAAAGTATCTGCATGTTATTTAGCAAGACATTAGAAAGATATGTATACATACTTGGATTTAAATTGGAGCACAAATTCAATATTCTAATGTGCCAACCAGTGGAGAATGTGCACTCTGAGACTGAGAGCTGATAAACATTGCCCTTGGCCCAGTCTCTTGATAGTACAGTCTAAAAGGATAATGACATCATTTTAAGTAATAAAGAGCAATTAGCATCAGGAGAAGAAGGAGCTCACTACAGTTGTCAAATGAAACAGAGAGCAGCAGATTCTTCTCAAAGTCACTATACCCTAAGTCTCTTCATCCTTTGTGCTATAAAACTAGGAACAAGAGTAGCAAAGACAATAAAACACAGACTCAGCCTAGTCTGCTTCATTTCACCAGGGTTTTGGGGGTTCACCTCAATAATACTGATGTTTGGGACCTGATAGTTCTTTGTTGCGGGGCTGGCCTGCATAATGTATAACATTTAGCAGCACCCCTAGCTTCTACCTTCTAGATGCCAATAGGTGCCTCACTGTGACAAATGAAAATATCTCCAGACAGTGCTCAAATTGTTTCCAGTTGAAAAAAATCACTGCTCTAAACCATTCAACTTCTGTTGGAAACATGTATACACATACAAGAACCAAGAATCTGAGTAAAACAAAATGTAATACTGAATGAGAACAAGAGTTTCCAAAATGAAATTATTAATAGATACTTTTTGTGAGAACACATTCCATAAAAACTCGTTTAAAAAGTATAGTGAAACAATATGGATTAAAATAGACTGAAAAATAAAACTTTTCAAAATGAAAAAAAAAATCTTTATGTGCGTATATCAGCCAAATTAAGAGAAAAATTATTTTTAAAACTTTAAGAATAACCTCTAAGCAGTAGCATTTTCTGGAAAACCAAATAATCATGCAGTTAATACTCATCAGTATTTCAAATGTACCATAACCACTGTTTTTCACCTTTAGTATTTACTGAAGAGTTTTATAAGACACATTACAGTCCTCAGTCTCAATAAAACTCATTTATTTTGTCATATTCTGTAAATTAAATAATATGGTACTTTAAATACCCATCAGAGGGGTAAGCTTTAATTTTGTTTTGTCAAATCACAATATGACATAATTTAGTGCTATAGAAATCCACAACTAGGCTATCTCAAATATTTTTAAAAAATGCTAGTCTATACGCCAGACTTCTGAAAAAAAAAAACATGAAAATATTAACCTTTTTAGTAAGACGATTTAGTTCATCTAAGAATCATTGAAAAATATCTAGACACAGTTGTAATTATCCACTATAGAAAAGTAAATCCATTTGTTGAGGTAACTAGGCCAAAAGTTACTCCAAATCACTTTTGTTACTATAATATCTATTTTTATAACTGAAACACAATAATTGTACATATTTATGTATGTACATGATTTATGTATATAAATATGTATATACTGGGTAACAATCAGATCAAGATAATTAGCATACTTATCACTTTAAACTTTTATCATTTCTTTATGGTGCGTACACTCAAAATACTCTCTTCTAGGTATTTTGAGATGATTATTAACTATTTTCTCAACCTACTGTGACAGGAGCTGCAACATCTGAATAAATCAAGAGCACACTGTATGTAAACCATACATGACTAAATTTAATTTCATTTGGCTGAAGTCCATGAACAAAATGTTTCTTTTGGAAATTAACACTGTTTAGCCTTATTTTTCTTTCCTTCCCCCACCTAAAATCTCAATTATCAGCATGAATCTGGTAATTGGTGAGGTTGTTGGAACTTTTGACTAATTGCTACCAAACATCAACTACAGAAAAACAATTATCAATAGTCTTTGAAATTTAATGCAAGTGCAATGGTCAGACATGCATGTGTGATGTGGGAATATCAACAAAGGAAGCAAGGCTTAGAGGCAAGCAGGAGAAGCTGGAGGACATTGATGGACACAACAGAGTGTGTTACAGTACCTGACAGCCTGTGAGAGCAAGAGGAGTAAGAAAGACCAGGTAAGAGAGCGCTCATGGTGTGAAGAAGGAGCGGGACGCTTTTAGTGGCAGGCAAAGCCTCAGAAAGGTGGACACAGTTGCTGATAGACTGGCTTCGCTTAGCTTCCGGGAGAGATAAAGTAATAATTACATCAAGCACACATTAAGACCTTTCACTACTTTTCATTATTTTCTGGGCTCTCTTTAAACACTTAAAAGTTCATTTTAAACTTTAAAGTATGTCAGTACAAATGACAATATTTAATCATTGTCTTGAAATAGTCAATTTTCAGTCAGCCACTCTGATGAGCAATCCACAGATAACCAATTTTAGTTTGGAATGATTTATGTATTTAGCTTTCCTTTTTCTGCTGTGCATCATAGCCACATTATAGTCAGATATTTTTTCCCTTCTTAAGCCAAGTGAGAGAAGGACAATCTGGCCAAAGACGGAAATTCTCTGTAAGTGATAAATACTTCCGAAGTTGGTTCACTGAGAGTTGACTGTATTCAAAAGCAAACGATTTAGTAAATTAAATATCCTAAAAGCTCAAGAACATGAAAGGTGAACTATTAAAGATTTGGTCTTTGGGAAAAAAAGGTAAAATTTTCATGAAATTTATCTTTTTATATCATATTTCATGATTATGAAATTCATACTTTCTTAGTATCATGTTTATGATGCTCTTCAATTTTCTAAACACTGCTGGTTAAACGAACATTTGAGAAAATGGAGACACAGGAAGAGAACATACTTCATATTCTTATAACCACTTTTATCAAAACTTAAAACAAAAACATAAAGGTTTACTTGCTGTTTTTTAAATCTATCCATATGTACCTTTATTTAACATGAATTAAGAAAAATTACAAATGATAATGGCACTTTTGCAAAAAAGTGAAACAAACTTTTTATTTCACTATCTCTTCCTCTATCCTTTGTCTATTAGAATTCCCAGAAATGTGATTAGTGTGTGTAAGATAGTATGTGACAACTTACATGTAAACGAAACTGACTCACTTAAAATTTCCTGACTTATTCATCTCTCAATATGCCAGAGACTTTTCATTTGAGTGGTTAAAAAGTTTTCCTTTTATAAATCAAATGATTATGCATTTTTTAAAACTCACCATATATTTTAGAAATAAAAAATACTGTATCTTTTATGTGGAAATTATGTGGAAATTTTAGAAACCTGAATTCTTACCATCACTCATGGTCAGGGAAAGAGTTTTCCTTATAAGTATTTAAAATTTTCCTTTCCAGGCCTTTTAAGTTATAATCTGGTATACGCTATTAAACTGTCATTACTCTGCAATTATATTACCTTAGTGCCACCATTAGTGAGGATTTTTGTACCTAAGTGAAATCTGTGTAGGAAATTATTATATAATAATTTTAAACTATTCTTTCACTGTTATTAGGAAAAACAAAGTTGCTTTCAAGTAGATCTTCCATAATAATCATTTATGCTAAAATGGCTACTAATTACTACTAAAAAGTAGTAAAAACTAACTTCATGAGGTGCTGTTATCTCATAAAAAAACAGCCTCCACACAAATCAAACTCTACTATGAAAATATTCTGGACTCTTTTTAAGAGACGAAAAGGTAAGTTATTATACTATATAAAAATAAAACTGAGCAAAATCACTAAAACTTAATCCTTATAGATGAATTTTATAAAATAGCATGATACAATAAAATCTTCAAAAGACATTTGTTTTAATAGGTTAATAAAAGATTTGTAATATTTTATAATTTTAAAAATATAAAAATACAATAGGAAAGGCATCTACATGTATCAACATATGTATATGTCACCCATGAAGATTACAAATTTGTTCAACTGACCATCTTCATTATCTTTCAAAGGTAATGGCTCTAATTTTTTTAAATTTAATTAATCCTACAAATACCAAGCTTATGGTTTTAAAGTACATATTCTATAAATATGTTTATAGGACTTATAAAAGTACTTGTTTTTCCAGTGCCATGGCCTCTCAGATACCTGAGAACACTGATAAAGATAACCTCACTACCATAATTGCTCTAAGTGTTTTCTAAAACATATTAGTGCCTCTACCATATTGTTGGTTTAAAATACCTGCTGAAAATTAAGATGTCACCATTTCTAAGGCTGTTTTAGCTAAGTAGTACTCATGGAACATGAATTTGCTGCTTATTAACATGTGAGAATAAAATTTTTAAAAAGGGTTTTGAATTACCATTTTTATTGTCATTGTAATTCAAAGATAGTAAGAACAGCAGAAAGTTTGGGTAGCTTATGCAAGATGTCATGTCTGCCATAACGTCTGATCTGATCTCTTTCTTTGAAGAATCCAGTGATAAAAGAAAGGACTTTTTAGAAGTTGGAATGAGAAAGGAAATCAGTGAATGAGCATTCTCAAAAGCTACATGTATCAGGAATTGTGTCTCTCCTAAAGGGAGAGAATGAAGACAAAGGAGAAGTAGAATAGGAGGTGTAGGTCAATAAGGTGACAATTACCAGCAAATGCTATAGCAAAAAGAATGAGAATCTTAAAGTTACAGTGTAATATACTTTCATAAAAAATGTCAACAGGATTCTAAACCATCTATATTAGACTTTTAATAAGCACTGTAAAATATGTTAGGCTGGAATGAATCTTAGCGAAATACTTAAATAAATGTTTACCAGTTGCTTTTTGGCGAACAATATTTCTTGCCTTCTCAACTCCTGGGGCTCCAGATGTGGTAGCACTCCTGAATCGCATTGGCTCGGTCACATCCGGGTGGCTCCTCCAGCTGAGAGAAAAGGATCTCCCCACAGTGGTCCCTTTCTGAGAATCTAGAACACAGCCTGATAAAGGATAAGGCAAGAAAATAAAAGTCTAAAGGCTGGATTTATTGTTATTTAATTTGCATCCTATGTTGCTCAGCAAATGACATCTATATACGATATGTAACCAGAAGATTCCCTTATGGGAAATTAGATACCACTTCCTTTTACTGAAATTTAGAAAGCCACAGAGAACTTCCAGCAATCTCCAACAGTTTTATGAAAATTATATCTTAATAGTATTCATTTCAGTACACAAAAGAACATATTAATAAACCTCTCTCAATACAAGGTCAAATGATGTAATACCACCATTACTCCAAAAGTCACTACTTTATAAACCAAAAACTCAGAGACTCTGATGTCAGAACAGCACTACATCTGTAGACTCCAACCCTCCCACAAATGCCCAGAAAAATCTAAAACTATAAATGCTAATGTACATTTGATCAAATAAGCAAGGTAATGAAAATCCAAAAATAATAACAAAAAATCCTATTTTAGAAAAGAATTTCTATTCAGCTTCAACTGTGGAGATAAAAAGATCGCTGCTTAAATGTTAGGAAAACACTGCACTGCACAGTCTTAAATCTAAACTGCGATTAAACGTTCCACTGGGATGCCATGTGCTTAAGCTACTTTGTTTTGACTTCTTACTGATTTTACTAATTAGGGCTATAACAAGTGCCACTCTCAGGCTACAATGGAGATATGTTAAGAATCTGTCCCATTAATCTTGTTATATGATTAATTAAGCATTGCAACTGGTTCATAACTCTGTATCCATGTCTTCTGTTGTCCTTTCCTAAAATGACTCTGGAGTTTATCATGTGATTTACTTTGGTAGCAAAACTGAACAAACAAAAACTTGAAATGCACTTGAAAATTTGATCTTGCCCTCTTGCTTCTCCTGGAATCCTAAACCATTACATGAACAAGCATATGCCAGCCCTCTGGGTGATAAAACATGTAGTCCAATCCACCCATTGTCCCAGTGGGCAGTCAGCTAACTCCTAGAAACAAAGTCATCAGTGTAGCTGACCATTGTTTGGCCTAGAGGATTGCAACACAGGAGTGAATCCCACAAAGACCAGCAGAAGAACTGACCAAGTATGTGCAAACCAAACTGCCAGTTCATAAAGTGGTAGTCTAAATAAATGATTGTGCTATTCAGCCACTAAGTTTTGGGGTAATTTGTCACATGACAAAAGCTAACTGATACATTCTATCGCATGGTTATTATTGAGGCACAGTGAACAATAATAAGCCATGTGTACACTTGATAAGTCTTTAAAAGAGAAATTCCTTCTAGGTAGGACAGAGGAAGGTTAACATATCACCTAAGGAAGTAGACTGTTTTTATCTTCTGTATTCTGTTTGATATAGCCCTGTAAGACTTAAAAAAAAAAAATCAGATCCAAGCTGGCAAAATGGCTCAAGTGGTAGAGTGCCTGCCTAGAAAGCATGACAGCCTGAGTTCCAACACCATTACCACCAAAAAAAAAGAAAAGAAAAATCAGATCCCAGATTGTCCCCCTCTCATCTCTCTATCAAGAACATGAGCCTCTATGGCATGCAATTTTACATTCTAACCATACCTGTGACTCCTTCCCACTCATTTGCCCTATTTCCTTCTGCACTCGATATACTACATTACATGTATTTCTATTAGCTACCTCAAAGCTTTACAGAATTAGCTGGAGTACAGATGAATTAATCCAAGGACCATGTCATAGTCCTTTAGAACTGTAATAAAGATAGGAAGATGTCCAGTTGTCATTCCCAGTACAAACCCCCACTGTTTTCTACCTCAAAAATAATCATTTTCACTTCCCTAGGTCTCAAAACAATTTTTACCCAGAAATACAACCAAGCTGAAATGCCTCCCATTTCAAGCACTATGAATTACTCTACATTTGTTAGAGAGGCAGTAGAAGGCATTATGTGGCTGATTTAGTTCATTACAAAATTATGTACACTAAGGATTTAGAAGTATAAATATACTCTTCTCCCCAATCCCACACATCTGGTGTCCCGCAAGAGTGGAAATACCTTTGCCTCGTTGCTTCTTTTCTTTTTGTTCACTTAATTTATCCAGAGGTAGGTTTGTCATCTCAACTCCATAAACGGTTCTTGCAAGCACTGCTGTCAAGGAGTCCATGATGTTGGCCCACTCATTGATGAGTTCCTCCCATTCCGTGAGGGAAGACAGCACACCAAGAAAGTCATCCCAGAGCTCCCGAGAAATGTACACACAGAGGTTTGCTCGTATCCAAGCCACAATGAGCGTCTAAAATCAACCAACCAAGAATTCAATTGGGAGAAATACAATTTTTAACAAAATATTTTAAATTATATTAAAAAAGTAAGTTTTAAGATAAAAATACTTTTGGGTGTTGTTTTTCTTGTGATCAACTGTAATCAGGATCTGAGCTACTGTGAGATTAATTATCAGTATGAACAAAGTTACTGATCCAATATTATTGTAGAGTATAAGGCTGGCCCTGGCTATAATCAGGGAAGAGACAAAGCCCTCTGTGCAACAACCACTCTGCGTCCTGACATGGCTCTTACCCTAACTCACCACAGTGCCTACTTCAAACATCCTCCTCAGTATATGAACTTCCTGTCCACCATTTCCTCCCTGATTTTTAGCACATGGGCTCATTGTAGACTTCAAAGGTAAGAAAACCCATTAAATGACACTGCCTTCAACCTCAGCCCACAAGACCTATGCTCTTGCCTGCACCTGCCCAACTTCACTTTCAGTTGTGGGCTCTCTTCCAAGAGGGGCTCTTATACTTACTCCCACTTATGCTCTGAACCCCTTCCTTAGAATCTTTGTACTTCTATTAAATCTACCTATATTTACTATCAACCTATCCTACTTCCCCCACTTCTGCACATCAGCATTCTAATACGCTCCAATTCTTCCTCATCTTAAAAAAAACATTTCCCTTGAAGCAGATTCCCCTTTTAGTTACAGGCCTTGACCACCCCTTCCAAAGCCAAACTTCTTGAAAGAATATTCTACATTTACTCCATCTCTTCTTTCTCACTTCCCACTAACCAACTGTTTCAGCTTTTTGCCTACTAGGACCTTTCCACCTTCTGCCTAGATTCTGGTTTCCATTCCCACTGCTTTCCTACCCTCTGAATACTGTGGACTCTGAGTCACCAGAGTCCAGCCCAGATCTCTTTGCTGATTCCCTGCCTATTTATCTGCTTACTAGAGAGCTCAACTTGAACATCCCACAAGCACCTGTCATACAGCATAATAGTGAAAATAATCCAGTATATTCACTGAGATTCTCCCAGTTCTTCAACCTGGTTTCACCTGACATTTACATAAACTCTCAGCTTTGCCTCCTTAAGGTATCACTTCCTCCTAGAAGGTGTCCTGATAAATTCTAGATGTTTTTTAAAAGATAATAAATGCTTTTCAACACAGACACAGGAAAACTTTGAGAAATAGAAGCCAGTCTATAATTAGGCAAGCCTGCTCTGAAAAATCACTTAAAAATCATATTTAAAGTGATCTTTTTGCAATATACCTGTTCAAAAAGGTCAAAATAAGTATACCACAACAAAATATTGATATATGAATAATTTTCAAAATTAAGAACAATGTGGAAAAAAAGGAATAAAATAATTATATTATTTATACTATTTATACTTTATTAAATATTTTTATTATGACTAAAATGTCAGCTTCTGTCTATTCATTTTTACACTCCTATTTTCAAAAGGAGTTTAAGGTCCTTACCATCAAGTGACATATACAACAAAATTAACAGTCTTGATCTAATAAATATTGATTCAATTATAAATATTGGTATACTATTAGATCAGTAAATATGACCTTAGCAGAGTTAAGTGGGGAGAGTAGAAACCAGTAAGTTCACAAGGAGCATTATATTTGGTTACAGCACCAGCTTCAGGATCAAAACCTGATGTCCTATACTAGGAATCTTGTTTTGGCTTCATTTTATTGGCTAATTATAAAATAAGAAATAAGTTAACTTCTTGCAGCTTACAAAATTCATCCTAGGCAATATCACAAACATGTATGCAGACCTACTGAATCATCAGCATAACTTGCAAACAGAGCTTGCACACAGAGCAAAGTTATAAAAGGTATTTGGGGGAGGGGAGAGTAGAGTGACACCTTTGAACACAAATGAAGGGTGCTCTTTTAATCATTTACCCTTTTCTAAAAGAAACAGAGAAAGTGAGAGCCCCAGCTCTAGGCTGTGCCACTAATTGGTATTTGACCTGCAGTAGGTCACTGACCTTTCTGGAGCCACATTTCTCACTACAAATGAAAGAGCTAGATAAGGGCACCTCAAAGTTTTCTCAGCACTGACATTTGGTGTTTTTTCAGATACAGCTTAGCACATGCACTATAAGAAAAAACACTTAGCTTCGTAAATCATTCCTCCTCTTATGCACGTTTGCTAACCAATCACTTCCTCCCTCCTGTTACTGCCCGCACTTAGGGGCACTACTGAATTGTCAAGTAATGGGATCCTACTATAAACAGTAAGACCATAGTTTCCTGATATATCTTCAGTGCTTCAAGCAAGCATAAAGTCTTTAGCTCTGACAACCAAATTAAAACATCATTGAAGACAATCATCATTATATGGTAAATATTTAAAACTGAGTGAAATTCAACTATTATTTGAAAAAAGGTTGCTAGCTTAGATTATCTATGGACAGAGGAAAACAACACTGAGGGAAAATTAGAAAAAAGATAAAAGGATAATGATAGCTTAAAATCTTCTGCTCCCTTCAGTAATCTTTACAAGTATTAAAAAAAAATCAAGAATCTAGCCATTTTATATAGTCCTTGTGACAAATGAATCATAATTAGCTAGCACATTTTAACTGTGCTGTGGCACTAAGATGGCACCCACTTGACAGCCTGCCCATTCTATCCAGACCATTACCATTTTCCCCCTCTCAGATCTCATATAAGGATATGGAGGGTCAACAGATGATTATAAATACAAAACAGATCCATTTCGCATCCATGACAACCCTACAGGGTAGGAAGGAGTCCTCTCTTGATCGTGGAAAATCAAGAGAGAGACTCAGAAAAGTGAAGTGTTATGTTCAAGGCCAGATAGCCAGGAAGTGCCAAAGCTGGGATCAGAATTATCATCAAACTCTAAAAAGCTCATCCTTCCGCCACTATTTCATGTTTAGTTCTAACTTTAAGCATTCTTCTTGATCTACTTACTTCCAAAATAGTAACAATGGAATCAAAATCATAAATAACCACAGACCTAAAAATATTCTTCAAGCTTCCTTGACAAGATTTCTCCACTAATGGATGGTTCCCCCCCCACACACACAAAAAAACCCCAACCCCAACAAATAAAAAACAACTACTCCAGAATAGATTCTTATTTAATTCTTTTACAAGTTATCTAATTCCAACACAACACAATAAATCCAGGACAAGACAACTGGTGAGGATGAGGCCCAATACTTAACAGTCTAACACTGACTTTAGTTCTTGTCCACTTGGCAGCCCAGCCTCAGGACTGAGAGCTAGGGTGGGTGCCTACAGTGAGATGCTCCACAGAAAGAAGACTGTCCGTTTTTCAGGCAGGCAGCAAAGCAATGATTAGTACCACTCTTCTAGCAATAGCAAAGCCAGGCAGGACATATGCAAAAAGAATGTGTAGGCTGGGGATGGTGGTGTATACCTGTAATCCCACCACTCAGGAGATGGGGGATGAGGACTGTGAGATAGAGCCTAGCTATATAGCAAGACATTGCCTCAATAAAACAAAAATAATGTGTAGGCCCACTCTACATGTCCACAAACTAGCCAAAGAACTCAGAGTATAAGAGACAGTATTCAGGAGATGAGTATGTGCCAATTATTTCTGTGACCTCTTATTATGCCGAGATCACTGAATCATATTAAATTATTAAAAATTGATGTGAACAGTTGAGTCACTTAGCTTTAAAGAAATAATTGCTCTTTTGATCACCTTCATCTGAATGTTCTATCTGTATTCTACATATGCTCTTAACATTTATCTTCCCAAACTCACCTTCAAGTCAACCATCACTTCAGCTCATGATCCACCATGCTTTTGCCTATTAAATTCAATCTCAGACCCACCCATTGTACTAATGCCTTTATTTGTATAGAATGTCATGTATTTCCAGAGTTCATTCACATGGTTTTCTTTTAGAAATGCCCATAAATTCTATATACCCCATTAATGTTAGCATTGTTGCACTAGGCACTGCCTTCACAACCCTGTGTCACTTCCATTTCCTCAGGCAGTCCATCAGATGTCAGCCTATCATGTTCTTGATCCTCTCATCACAGGAGGTGTAGGAAGCACAGGCATCTCCTTGCTCTCTACTCAGACTGAGGCCTACCCAGCCCTTCTCTATATCCAGGGCTTTACTCCAGTAGTTCTTTTCCTTCTCTCCCAGGCCGTCCTGTCCACCCTCACTGAACCATCACATGGGCAAGCAAAGACACTTTTGTACCACCTGCCCTAAGCCTCAACCTCAACATACGTTGTCCACTCTAGCTATCTTTCCTTTGCTTCCTCCCTTCTCTATCAAGACCTCTTCAAAACTGTGTCCATGCTTGCAACCTCCACTGCCTAGGTCTCATTTTCTCCCTTACCCACTCCAAGCATGTCTTATTTCATTAGGACATTCTTGACTATCTGTATCTTGTCAAAGTGATTGGGTAATTGGCCACTGTCCTTTTCTCCAAGCACCTAGAGCACACTCTTCTGGTTCTCCTCTTAGATCACCACTGGTCACCCTTTCTCAGCATTGCTCGCTGCCTCTCTCTTTTATCAACCTGAGAGAGGCTCTCTTTTCTCCATGGCATGTATTATTTCTTTAGGTGACTCCATCTAGTTCCATGGCTTTACATACAATTGCCTAACACAAAGATGGTTCTCAAATTTTTATTCCAGCCCCATACTTCCATTTTTTCATCCTATGTCTCCCCAGATTTACCTTGCGCTCTACCAAGTTCCTCAGTCCTTGACATTGTCCTAATTTCTATCATCCTTGAGCAAATCAAGAGGAAGTAGATGTAAGAGAGCTAGGAAAACCCCAAAGCCCAGTACTACTTGTAAGGAATAGACCACAACCTTTAGGAAAAAGCTAAGAAGGAAAATCTCTAAAAATTTAAAGTTAATTTAATTTTACTCTTAAAATTCTTAATGATTAAAACTAATTTGCTTAATGTCTGATTCATTTCTTATATTTGCAGTATTTTAATAAAAAAGACTTACCCTAAATAGTAACCCTGCCAAGCTCTGGGCAAACAAGTCCTTTATTTGTTTATCCTTTGGCTTCTGCATGACAGCTTCTGTTATCCTGAGTAGTATTTGCAACATCTGCTCCCTGGGCCACCCAAAATAAAAGCTTATATTAATAACACATCTCCAAAGAACTATGATTTATAGGTATGAGAAATTCTCTTAAGAATTCAGCAACATTGATCACAATGCATTACTTGAAAGTATTAAAACTCTAAATGCTAAAATTACATAACAAATATGTATTATCAGAATGACCTACTTTATGTTACAACAATTCTAAAAATATGCCTCCCACATCCACCAATAGGCAGGATAAAACCAGTATCTTCCTAGGGATGCATGCCATCAGTACCATAGTGTGGCTGAGCTCCACAGTCTTCTTGTATGCAGCAGGGTTTTAGAAAGGTCCTAACTGGACACTGACAGGCATGGCAACTATGCCAGGAAGGTCTTGACTGCACTATAGTACACAGCTGTGACAACTATGGTCATGGTGTCTTACTTAGTCACAATGTGCCAACACTTTTAGAGTCTCTTGCAGAGAAACTCTTGTAAAAGGTGTCTGAAGAGTATGAAACACTATGGAGATAACGTAACACTGCTAATTATGATAATCAATGTTTTAGAGTAGCAAAGGACATTTTTCTTTCTTACAGCTAAGTTATATTCCTCATATGAGTATCTGTTCAATTTTTCTGGATTCTGTGGAAACAGAGAACACATTCCCTTTTCTGGATATAGGGAGGTCCACTTGTTCTCTGAGAGGAATCACTCTGGCTCCTGTGAGGTTTTATACCTTAGCCATTTGTTCATCTTTAATACTTTCTCCTTGGCCTTTCTGCTCTTTAGTGATAAAACCAAGAATGGAAGAAAATAATCTAGTCCAGATCAGAGAAAGAGGTATCTAAATCATACTTCCTCCTCTCTCTGCATAGCAGGACAGCATTTGCTCTTAATTCATAATGGTAAATCTCATTAACCTTCTCCAATACAATCATCTCTGGGGATTTCCTTTCCTCTTTGAAGCTAGCATCACTTGAGTTTAGTTTATTTGCTGGCATACAAGTTTGACACTCTTTTCTACCTGTTTGTTCTATACACTGCCTATGGATTCTGGAAGCACAGAGGAACAAGAGTAATAGAGTTAGATAGGATCTGGGCACATGTGCACAGAATAGGACAGCAACTTTGTTCTCTTTTTTTTTAATTTTTATTTTATTCATATGTGCATACAATGTTTGGGTCATTTCTCCCCTGCCCCCCGCCCTGCTCCCTCCCTTACCTCTCACTACCCAGCAGAAACTATTCAACTATTCTGCCCTTTTCTCTAATTTTGTTGAAGAGAGAGCATAAGCAATAATAGGAAGGAACAAGGGTTTTTGCTAGTTGAGATAAGGATAGCTATACAGGGAGTTGACTCGCA